ATCTATCTATCTATCTATCTATCTATCTATCTATCTATCTATCTATCTATCTATCTATCACTTTTCTCCAGGAGCGCAAAGCAGTGTAGACAATGTTCCCTTGTCCATGATTTTGCCCTTCAAGAACATCCCCGTTAGGCAGCCTGGGCCAGGAGTCAGTGACTGGCCTGAAGTCTACCTCAGAACTAAGGATGGGTTTTTTTAAACCTAAATCTCTTTGATCCATTTCCAGCACATCCATCGCCATGCCACACACAGACACTCGTTTGTGTATCGCTTCAGTTCTGGTTGTGGCTGAAGCTGGTATTTCAGTTGGAGTTCAGGTCCAAGGTGAAGTTTCTGGGGTCATCAGTAATCGCAGTGGAAGGCTCAGGATGGAGATATGAGGCTCTGTTGAAGGAGCATAACTACTGTGGCTTCTCCTCCCGTATCCCGATATTCATGCCCCCCTAGATTGGGCGACACTGGGTAGACTGACATTGGCGGTCCCAAGCCTTCTTCACCTCCAAGTGGTTCTAGAAACCAGTCTTCCTTGTGGGCAGGGTAGATCTGCTAATCCGTGCTGCATAGTCCAGGCAGAAAAGGCCGTTTTCTTCTACTTTCCTAATTTCTCTCAGGTGGAATTTATATATGACCTAGTAAGATTATTAGTTTTTTCTCTTCCGCTTCCTTTTCTGACCCTGCTAAAAGCCAAAGTTTCCCCAAGTTAACTTCAGCTCCTGCTGATCATATGGTCCCATCCATACCGGTTTCTTGACAACAGCTTAAAAGTGGCTTCCAGATGAAAGGCAAATGTATGTGTCCCAGGATAATGTTGCAATAATGATCCAATCTGGGTCATGTCACCGGGACCAGAGGTTTAGTCTTTTGTGCTTTTAAAAGATAACAGATAATCAGAGTTGGAAGGGACCTTATAGGTTATCTAGTCCAACCCCCCCCATCCAAGCAGGAAGACCCTACACCATTTCTGACAGATGGCAGTCCAATCTCTTCTTGAAGGTCTCAAGGGATGGCGCTCCCACAACTTCCGAGGGCAAAGCTGTGTTCACATTGGTTGATTGTTCTCACTTTTGGACTCGTGCTGGGGAATTTCTCTCTACCAGAATATGCCTGACCTTTGATTTCTTTCGAGATGTGACTTCCCAGTCTAGCCTGGAGCCTGGAGATTTCCTGCTAATCTCCCATCCAAGGGATAGCCGGTTCTGTTCCTGTTTAGGTTTGGGGGATCAGCCAATAGCCTCCCAGCTACTACTGTAGGCAATAACCAATGCATGGCTGCCTAATTCACTAATAAACGATTGACACACACACACAACGCGCACACACACCCCTTGCAGGAATGCCACCAGCTCTCAGAACATCCCCAGTTACATCCCCAGTTCACGGGCCTTCGGTCCCTGCCATTCCTAACCATCGCAACCACTGTTTAATGGGAGTTGGAGGTGGCTGCTTAGTTCAAGCAGCAGGCTTTCCACAGCTATTCCCCAGGCCCAGTTAAGCAAGCTCCTCCTTAAGCGTGGCTGGTGATGGTAGCCTAATCATCAAATGGCTTTAGGTGGATCAATTATCTCTCTCTTTTTTTTTAATTGCCGGGTCATATTTACAAGTGATGAAGTCAAGGGGATTGGCTTTTCCCATGGCTGGGAATCTCTGAGCATCTCGTGGCAATAAGCCTGTACGGTATTAACTTTTAGCTGATACCAGCTTTTCTTTTCCACTGTAATACCACTGCAATATCTGAGAATCTAATGACAGCCCGCGGATTTGGTAATAATAACCACCTTCACCTCCTTTATTTAGGAGGCTTTTTTATTTAAAGATCATTTTGCTATTTACAGTAAATAACTCAAAAGACTCTCCCCCCCCCCCCCCCCCTTAGCCTAAAAATACAGTGACTAAAGCGATCCCCCCCATTTCTATATATTAAAAAAACGCAAATCAAAGTTTCAAGAGACCCACCATCTCTTGACAGAATCGGTCAAAATGAACCCTTGGTTTGGAGTTAAATCATTCCTTCTGTTGGTCGGAGTGAGGAAACGCAGTGTAACATCGTTTTTTTTTTAAAAAAAGAACATGGTCCTCCCTCCTGCAGCCACCATTGATTTTAAAATGCCCAGTTGATCTCTCTGTCCTTTCGCTGGGGAAAAAACGTCAGTACGGTGCATAAGATTTGGAGAGCACCCAGTAATTGAATAAGCTGTGGGTTGAGGCTGAGAGATCAGAGCCAGGAGAACAGATGGGCCTCTAGACAGAACGGGGGGAGAATGGAAAACTTCTGTTTCCAGGTAGATGAAGGATGGAGAACCCTGACTAGCTAGTTTTTAGACACATCCAAAACAAGTCTGCTTATTTCTGGCTGAAAAGCAAGAAGTCCATTTCAGTTTGTTTTTGCTTTAAATGATTTTTGCGGGTACTTCCTTAGCAGACCAAGGGAGGTCTTGCTCTTTGGGTGTGTTTCTTGACTGCCTGTTTGCATAGTGTCTTTTGTGCCCACAGGAAATGGCAGTACCCCTTCTAAGTGGGGACATTGCTCCAAATTGGGCAAGAGCTTTAAAGCCGTTTTTCAAGGCTGCTCTAACCTCTTTTTTTTTTTGTCTCGGAGCAGGACTGCCCCGGAAGTGGGATCCCAGCCTCTTAGCCTCCCCGCTCTTTTTGCCCACTGCAGGTCCCGGACTACCTGGACCACATCAAGAAACCGATGGACTTCTACACGATGAAGCAGAAGCTGGAGGCCTACCGCTACCTGAACCTGGACGAGTTTGAGGAGGACTTCAACCTGATAGTCAGCAACTGCTTGAAGTACAACGCCAAAGACACCATCTTCTATCGGGCGGCCGTTCGGTTACGGGAGCAAGGGGGCGCGGTGCTGCGACAAGCACGCCGGCAAGCAGAGAAGATGGGCATTGACTTTGAGACTGGCATGCACTTCCCCATGGCCGGGGAGGAGGCTCCTCTGCGAAGCACCGAAAATGGTTAGTATTCCTTCTCAGGGTGGGCAGGGCCATTCTGGAGCAACGGCAGGGCCAAACTCTTTATCCTGCTCCGGCGTATTGGGGCAGAAGAGCATGTCGACGTAGTCCGCCCATGCACCGGAGTAAGGGATACATGAAAGGGAAGCTCACAACTCTTCTGCCTGAAATTCAGTTCCAGTAAAATGGCAGGGGAAAAAAAAACATTTAGGGATGAAAGAGCCGAAAATATTGGGAGAGAGAATTAGCCAAGGTAAAAATATTAGTGTGGCAGTTTATTGTCCCCTGTGGGGAGCATACACGGTAAGCCAAGCTTAAACCAATGCTTCTTTATCTGCCTTGGCCAATCGATGCAAAAGATGGAGAACGTCATCATGTTCTTCTTAACTGATGTTTTTCTGGGCTTGTTCATTTGCTTGCTTGCTAGGATGCTGATCGTTCCAATCATCCCGATCCAAACTCAGTAGAGTAAATCCAGGCTTGTTTTGAATTCTGAATCAAGAGATGGCCACGCTGCTTTACTTTAGCGTAGATTATCAAGGATCTCATCCTCCCCTTTGCATATTTATATAAAAATCTTTAAAAAAAGAGAGAAAAAGAGGAACATTAACCAAAAAAAGTGGTTTGGAAGCTGCTCTTTGCAACGAGAGAAAAGAAAGCCACAGCCTTTTGATACTCAAATCTTTCAGGTCAGAATGGGAGATGCTATCCTCTTCCACATGTGGTTGAATTACAATTCCAGGATTCTTCACCACTGGACCTGTTAGCGGAGACTGCTGGTAATTGTGATTTAGCAATCTCTGGACAGCCACGGTCGTTCTGCACCTTAGCTGTGCCTCCAGAGTGGAGGTTTCAAAGAAGCCGCTTTGTAAGGCCCAAACTCTCTCCCCTTCAGATGATAAGAATTAACTTTTGAAAACTGGGTATTTCAAGAGGAACTCTTTATTGAAAAGATAATCCAGGTGATGTTCAAAGCAGGGTCTAATATGCCTCCAGGCATGCAGCCTAGATAAGGAGGGAGTTAGAACCCCTACCCTTAGTCCGGTGTGAATTTCGCCAATACAAAGACACAACATGTTAATTCCCCCCCCCCCCTTTTTTTTCTTCGTTCTGGGACCATAGTTGAAAAGAGCTTCCCAGGAAGTTTCATTTGGAGCTGGAATTTTTATGGCCCCTTCTCCTCTTGCTGCCTCTCCAAGAGGTGACAGGTTTCCAGGCATCTGGGCTCCAGTCCCCAGTTGTATGTGTGCAAGTTATGCAGATTCAGTACAAGAATTAAGATATTCAGGTTACATCAAAAAGAATTACTTGTATCAACCAAACACCTCCCCCCGCCCACTTCTTCTTCCATTGAAGAATGGCAGATACACAGACCTGACACGCTTCATCATAAGAAAAGACCAGGAGAAGCAATGATTTCTCCTTTAGCTGAGCTCAGGATCTTTTAAGCGTACAGGTAGTCCTTGATTTACGACTGTGATTGAGACCAAAATTTCTGTTGTTGAGCAAAACAGTTGTTAAGTGAATTTTGCCCCATTTTACGACCTTCCTCGCCCCAGTTGTTAAGGGAATCACGGCAGTTGTTAAGTTAGTAACAGGTTTTCTAAATGAATCTGGCTTGTCTTGTCAGGAGGTTGCAAAAGGGGATCCTGTGATCCTAGGGCACTGCAGCTGTCATAAATTTGAGCCAGTGGCCAAGTGTCTGAATTTGGATGCTGCAATGTCTGTCAGTGTGAGAGACGGTCGTAAGTCACTTTTTTCAGTGCCGTTGTAACTTTGAACGGTCACTAAAAGAAAAGATTGTAGAGTCGAGGGCTACCTGTATGAAAAACCTAAAAGCCACCCACGTGTGAGTTGGGTGGTCTCTACACTTTTAATACCTTTAAAGAAAAACATTCGTTGAATTCACACAACGCGTTCAATTTATATGCTGCCCATTTCACGGCCAAGTGACTTTTGGGCGCCTTGAAGACCAAAAAAAAAAAAAAAGGAAAGGAAAGGAAAGAGTTTCGCAAAAGCAGATGTTTCCTTTTTCCCAGACGAGGAGCGGCTGCTGCTGTCGGAAAACCAAAAGCACCTGCCCCTGGAAGACCAGCTGAACCTCCTGCTCGAGCGTCTGGCCGAGGTGAGCGCCGGGAAGCAAAGCGTGAGCCGCTGCCGACAAACCAAGATGATCAAGAAGGAGATCACCGCCTTGCGGCGCAAGCTGGCACACCAGCGGGAGACAGGGAGGGATGGGCACGGCCCCTTGGCCCGCATCATTCTGCCGACCCATAACACCTGCGAGAAGGACCCTCAAACCGACAGCGCCGCTGAGGAGAGCAGCAGCCAAGAAACCAGCAAAGGTTGGTGGTGAGGCTAGCAAGCCTGGAGCTGCTTGTCCCTGTGAGGAACGTGGGGGCGTTCCTTCTCTCTGGAAGCTTTGCAGGGGCATCTCTTGGGAAGGCTAGAGTCACGCCACGTTAGCCTAGCTTCTCCCGGAGGTGCTTTTTCAAAGGGCAACATGGACTTCCTTTGTTGTTGTTTTCCCCTTGAAGGCGTTTCGCTTCTTATCCCAAGAAGCTTCTTCAGATCTGCTGAAACAGGGGTGTCAGATTCAAGAACTGGCCCGTGGCGTTGCCCTGGAAACAGCGAAGGACCGGCCCGCAGTGCCTCTGCCAGTGAAAATGGGAGTTCGTGAGGGTCTCGTGCAGCCCTCCCAGCCCCCGTTTTCGGCCACGACGGCCTCCTGCAGCCCCTCTGCCAGCAAAAACAAAGCTCGGGGGGGGGGTGTCGCACGTGGCTCCTCCCCCTGGCTCTGTTTTCTCTAGCAGAGAGCTGCAGAAGGCTGTCGTGGCTGAAAACGGGGGCTGGGGGGGGCCCATGGGCCCGTCCCCCCCCCCCCGGGCTCCGTTTTCCCTGACAGAGCTGCAGGAGGCCATTTTAGCTGGCAGAACACTTGGGCCGCCACAGGCGTCCCCGACATGAGTGATGTCGAGCTGGCCACGCCTACCGTGGGCCACGCTCACCCCGGTCCCCCGTGGTCAAACACGGCCCCGATGCGGCACCCAATGAAATCGAGTTTGACACCCCTGTGCTGAAGAAACTTCTCGGTTGAGAAGCGAAACGTCTTCAAGGGAAAAAAAAAAACCCAAAGAAAGTCCAAGTTTGCCTTTTGAAGAAGCACCTTCGCGAGCAACCGTGCCCTGGATGACCGAGAATCTCCATATGGGTCCTTAGCCTAGCTGGGTTTTCTCCAGCTTGCCCATCTTTCATAGGCGAAGTCCTTGGAGCTCTCTGAGCTTGGTTGTTCGTCTCCAGACATTTCGTTAACCCAACTGCGTAACCTCATCAGCGTATTGACACCGCTAGCTAGCCAGGTAATGAAATGTCTGCAAGCAAACAATCGAAATCAGGGAGCTCCGCAGTTCGGCCCTGAGCTACAGATACTCTCTTCTTAAGTGTGACGAACTACATTTCCCATCACCCCCCCCCCAGATAACAATGGAAGGGAAAGGTTAGAAGATCCTGAGATTCCTTTTGTTCAGAGGAATCAGTGTCGCTCCTGCCTTTGGCCTTAGCTTCTCACTGTCCTCGGGGCCCGTATATCCTGAACTTATACAGATGTTCCTCTCATCTAGCCCTTACGACTCTGCTGAGTTACACATGGGAAGACAGCGGTCCCTAAAGCTTGCACAATTTTTGAAAGATGATTTTTTTTGGAATCGGCAACCTTATCTTCACAAAGGCAACCGATTTATGAAAGTTATTTTTTAAAAAAAACAACGCCTAAAATGTTGTTTTCCTGGATGCAGAGAAGGCTTTCTGCCACTTCCAGTAGATGGGACAATATTCCTAGGCTAGGCAAGGGCCGCTGAACCAATTTTTGCCAAAGACTGCCTCAGCAATTGCAGAAAGTTTTCCTTCTGCAAACTACTTCAGCAGAAGCTGGTCCCCCAGGCTTGTCTAATGCTGGAATGGCATCTTCAAGATGTCTTCCCAATTCTGCCTCTCGGTTCTTTGCTGGTTTTTAAAGAAAACCAGAGCAGCACGAAGTCCATTTGTACTTAGCCCAATCTTCTCATCTGAAAGATGACGCTGAGCCCCCAATGTTAAGCAAGGAGAATCAAGCTACGTGGAGATTTCCCTAGACCAGGGGCGCTTTGATCTGGCCTGCAGGGCTGCCCTGGAAACAGCGAAGGACTGGCCTGCAGGGTCTCTGCCAACGAAAATGGAGCCCGGGAGGGGTGCACACGCCTCTCCCGAGTTCCGTGTTTGCTGGCAGAGGGCTAGCAACACCAACAACTAGTAAAAGTGGCATTTGATCACACAAGTGATGTTGAGCTGGCCACACCCAGCCTGACCATGCCCCTCCTCCCTCAAGGTCAAACACAACCCTGATGCGGCCCTCAGTAAAATTGAGTTTGAAACCCCTGCCCTAGACCAGGTCTATTCATTATATCACAGTGTTGTTTAAGAAGGGCACTTGATGGATCTAGAAAATTATGGCGGGTGGAACTTTTTTT